CTACTGCTGAAGACCTTCTTCAGAAGTTCCAAGAAGGCATGTCTTCTTTATCAGTTGCAAAATCATTGCAAGTCTCTATGGATGGGCCAAATGTAAATAACCTTTTTCTGAGAAAACAAAAAGAAGAATTTAAAACCAATCTTGACTGTAAAGGAAAAGAAAAAGATTGACTTTGGAATTTGTACCCTTTGTGTTGTGCATGCGTCTTTTAAGATAGGATTGCAAGCAGTGAAATGAGACTTGAATTCAGTCTTGTGCGATATGTATTATCTGTTCGAAGATCCCCCAGCTTAGGAGGGCATCATACACTACTATGACTGGAAGCACACTATTTCCCCTGAAGTTTTGCTCCACTAGGTGGTTGGAGAATGTTAAGTCAACAGCTATGCCTGTTTTTGACAGCATCAAGAAGTATGTGGAAGAAGCAAAACTCCTCCACAGTAAACCTGAAATTTGTATAAAAGCTGCAATCAAAGATCCACTCATGAAGTGCAAAATGGCTTTCATGAAAATGATTACTGAAGATTGTGAGCCATTTCTACAAAGGTTTCAAAACCAAAAACCACTGGCACCTTTTTTGTATGAAAAACTCTGTAAGCTAATCAAGAAGCTAATGAGTCGTTGCATAAAATTGGACAAGCTTCAAAATGTGTCTTCTGATTCCCAGTTGTTAACAATTGACATGAAATTATCTGAGAATTTGCTTGACAAAAGCAAGGTTGATCTTGGCTTTGTAGCAAAGAAGCTGTTGAAAGAAACTAAACTGAGTGAATGTCAAGTGGCCAAGTTTTGCCTAGAGTGTTGAAACATGGTAGTAGCTGTTGTTGAAAAGCTGATTGAGAGAAGTCCTTTGAAGCATGGTGCATGGCTTTATCAGTGTTGGATCCTGCTATCATTTTACGCAAGCCAGATCTTGGAATCACCAGAGTAGGGGCTGTTCTTGAATCTCTACATGCAGCAAATCAGATCAATGTCACAGTAGCGGAAAAATCAAAGCAACAATACACTGTTTTAACAACAGCTGCTCACAGTGGGTTCAAGGCTCAATTTTGTGTATGTTGCAAAACAAAATGAT